CCCAGCAGGTCGAGGCTGTGGTGATCGGGAGCGGCCACTGCACTCCAGCCTGGGCGACAGAGTGAGACTCCAACTCAAAAAAAAAAAAAAAGAAAAAAGAAAGGTAAATCCAGTTTATTAAATACAGGCTATAAGGTCCTCTGCTTGTTAATGGCCAATGCAAAGAGATGAAACAATATCAGTTATGTGACTAATGTTTATAAGCTAAAAGGAGAACCATCTTTGGCAATAACATCTGAGATAACTTTTGTGTGTGTGTCCTCAGAGATAACTTTGTGGGTGCCAGTAAACCTATAAGGTTTCTCAAGGTAGGCAGATGGCCTGACTCCAAGCTCAGTTCAGTAGAAGCAATTCTAAAGTGAGCTAGCACAGTGCAGGTCATCAGCTCAGTACAGGTAGATGACAGCTAAGTGGCTTTTGGGCTTTCCCCAAGGAAGCATTTCTGAGGCTGTGGCTGATGTATATCAGAATCACTTAGACCATTGGATTAGAATCTCAAAAATGTGGAGCCCTAGGGTATGCTTTTGTCTTACTTTTTTTTTTAAAAAGCTCTTTAGGTAATTCCGATGTATAGACAGAACTGAGACCAAGCGATCTAAGGAAATGGATGAACTGCACATATTTTAAGCAGTTTGTTTAACTGAAATTTTAATAAGAATTAGATAGCAGAGAGTTTAAGATTATGTTTTCAGGCAGGGATGATGATAATCTCAGGAGCAAACACTGTATTGATATGCTAGGCATTGTAAATATTTTTTGTTCTAATACAGTATAAATGTTTTTTGTTTGAATAGCATTTAATGCTTATGAAAATTTTTGAGATGCATGCCACTTTTATCTTCTCTTTATAGAAGAGGAAACTGTTCAGAGAGGCTATATAGCCTGCCCATGGTCAGGTAGCTAAAATTCAAATCCCAGTAGTTTGACTTTAGGACTCTTATTCATAACTGCTGTGACCTGCCTGGTGTTTTTTGTTTGTTTTTTATCAGATAACAGAGTACTGTTCATCTGTGGTGTCATTTAAGTAATAACTATTCATTTTGGTGCTGGGTGGCGTTAGCCATGTTTTTTTGTATAGCCTGAAGAGGCTAACCAATAAATGTACTTGAAAAGAAAGGTGCTTCATTTCTGTTTTATTTGTTATATCTTTGGGTACCAGAGTACAGATTTTCCTTTAAAAAGGGGGGTGGGGGGGTTATTGTTTAGCAACGAAGGCCCTAAACATTCTAGAGTATAAAGCATTGCAGTGATTTTTTTACCATTTTGGAAGCAAATATTAACAAACGTCTACCTCATCCTTGAAAATAAATCTTATTAAGGCACCATGTCCTGACTGATTTTAAGAAATGAAGCTTGTGAGTAAAGTGTTTGTAATGAATGGTTAGAGAATGCTTAACAGGACTGTGGGTGTAAGTTAAATGTTTTGAGAGCTTATACTAAAATTTAGTTAATCTGAAGCTTGTCTTTCTGACAGAATAGTTAGAAGAGATAGAGATCTGTCAAGTTCATTCCTAAAGCATGACAATAAAACGCCTCTGCTTAGAGGAGAGTGCCTGTTCTAAGGAAAATGATAGAGGCATGTAAGAAGGTATTGTAGGGAAGCTGGTAGTCAGGGAAACTTTTCTGGAGGAGGCAGAGGCAATTAAGCTGGACTTGCCAGCTGGCTTCAGATAGTAAAGAAAATCTAGGCAGAATAACAAGAATATAGGCAGAAAAACCAAAATATATAAAAAGCACAATGGTAAGTAATACGTTGTAGTGTATGTATAAAGAGTTGGTATTTCTGGTACATAGAGCATGTGGGAGAAAAGCAAGAGATTGTCATTTACTAAGATGAAGAAGTTTATGTCCAGGGCAATTTCTTTTTTTTTGAGTTGGAGTCTCACTCTGTCACCCAAACTGGAGTGCAGTGGCCGCTCTCGGCCACCACAGCCTCGACCTGCTGGGCTCCGGCGATCCTTCCGCCTTGGCCTTCCAAGTAGCTGGAACTACAGGCGTGCGCTACCACGCCCGGCTGATTTTTTTTTTTGATTTAGAGATGAGATCTCGCCAAGTTGCCCAGGTGGGTCTCGAACCTGCGGGCTCAGGCAATCCACTCACCTCAGCCTCCCAAAGTGCTGGGATTACAGGCTGAGCCACCGAGCCCGGCTGGTCCAGGGCAATTTCAACTTCAGATGTGTTAGGGTTGGAATGCCTGTGGATAGCCAAATGGAGGTAGTTGGTAATTGGAAGACCATGAAGGACAGACCAGGAAGACAGAAGAACTGGTAGAGAATGATATCATAAATGGAAAGAGGGTGATATATTTTAGAGAAATATATCAGGAAATATCTGTTAAGCAATGTAAAGCCTGCGACATGTACTAGCATCTAGTGACTTTAGGCAGTGGTATGGGCAGAAGGCTGGTTGAGTGAGTTGAGTGGTGAGTGAATACTGTGCAGGGAAAGAAGGGCAGTAGCTAAAGAGGGTGGATATTGAGAGTGGATGTTTATTATCGTTATTTTTGTTGTTGTTTGTTTTGAATTGGAGTCTCACGCCATAGCCCAGGCTGGAGTGCAGTGGCATGCTTGCGGCCACCGCAGCCTCGACCTACTGGGCTCTGGTGATCCTTCTGCATCAGCCTTCCAAGTAACCGGAATTACAGGCGAGTGCTACCATGCCCGGCTAGTTTTTTATTTATTGTAGAGACGAGGTCTCACCAAGTTGCTCGGGTGGGTCTCGAACCGGCGGTCTCAAGCAATTCACTCGCCTCAGCCTCCCAAAGTGCTGGGTTTACAGGCTGAGCCACCAAGCCTGGCCTATCATTATTTTTAAGATGAGTAGTATGTGAGCATACAGTAGTCTATCTGCTGGGGGATACAGTATAAGACTCCCTCGTGGATGCCTGAATCCGCAGATCGTTCCAAACCTGATTGCCAACGTTTGCAACACTTTTCTGTTATGTCTTCTGCCTACAAATGTAGTACCTTTTCCATCTTAACTAAGCACTTATCATGTACTGTAGGTATAACTTTTGCAGTTTTAGGTATGACAGCAAAACTAGCACAAATTTATTTTTCCTTCACAATCTTGTGGGTAGAAGATTCATTCTTACCGTAGATCTTAGTATCCCCAGAATATGATTTTTTTCTTTCCTTATTAAATCAAGAATTTTCACTTCAAGGGAGCCCTTTACAGTTTTCTTTGTCATAGCTGAATTGCCAGCTTCACTACTCTTGCACTTATGGATACTTTTAAGACAAATAAGACTTACTTGAGGCTGGGCGTGGTGGCTTATGCCTAAAATCCCAGTACTTTGGGAGGCTGAGGTGGGAGGATTGCCTGATCCTGAGGGTTCAAGACCAGCCTGGGCAACTTGGCGAGATTTTATCTCTACAATAAACAAAAAAATTAACTGGGAGTGGTGGTGCATGCCTGCAGTTCTAGCTATTTGGAAGGCTGAGATGGAAAGATCGCCTGAGTCCAGCAGATCGAGGCTGCGATGGCCGTGAGTGTGCCACTGCACTCCTGCCTGGGCAACAGACTGAGACTTAAACTCAAAAAAAAAAAAAGACTGGCTGGGCTTGGTGGCTTGGCCTGTAATCCCAGCGCTTTGGGAGGCCAAGGTGAGTGGATTGCCTGAGCCCGTGGGTTCGAGACCCACCTGGGCAACTTGGCAAGACCTCATCTTTACAATAAATCAAAAATTAGCCGGGCGTGGTAGCGCATGCCTATAGTTCCAGCTACTTGGAAGGCTGAGGCGGAAGGATCACCAGAGCCCAGCAGGTCAAGGTTGCAGTGGCTGGGAGTGGCCACTGCACTCCAGTCTGAGTGACAGAGTGAGACAAAAAAAAAAAAGACTTAGTTGAACACAAGCACTGCAATACTATGGCAGTTGATCTGATAACCAAGATGGCTACTAGGTAATTACCAGATGGGTAGTGGTACAGCTTGGATATGCTGGACAAAGGGATGATTCTTGTCTCAGGCAGGATGGTGCAAGATTTCATCATGCTATTCTGAATAGCATGCAATTTAAAACTTATGAATTGTTTATTTCTGTAATTTTCCATTTAATATTTTTAGACTGTGATTGGCTGTAATGACATGGTAATGAAGCTGAGAAAATAAAATCAAGGATAAGGGGGAACTACTGTATATTCACATGCCACATAACGATATATCAGTCAATGATGGACCAAATATGCTATGGTAGTTCCCTAAGATTATAATACTGCATTTTTACTGTACCTTTCTTTTTTTAATTTTAAAGATGCGGGATATAATTCAGGGTTAGGTATACAAATGTTCATTATGCAGGTACCCTTGTTGATGAGGTGTACCCTTCCCTCCCCTGGCAATTTCACTCAACTGCCAATCCCACCCTCACTCCCCTGGCAGTTTTCCACTACTACCACTTCTTTTCTTTTTTAAAAAATTATTATTTATTTTTTTAATCCAGTCCTCTTTTGATGGACAGCATGGTTGGTTCCAGGTTCTTACTATTGTGAACAATGCTACGATAAACATAAGTGTGTAGGTATCTTTTTTATAGGGTGATTTGAGTTCTTCAGGGTATATTCCGAGTAGGGGGATTGCAGGGTCATATGGGAGGTTGATATTTAGAGCTTTTAGGAATCGCCACAATGGAATACTATGCAGCCATAAAAAAGAACAAAATCATGAATTTTGCAGCAACCTGAATGGAACTAGAGTTTATAATACTGAGAGATCTCTCACAGAAACAAAAATCTGAGTATCACATGTTCTCACTCAGAAGTGGACCTAGAACATCTATCATAATACTATAAGAAAAGAATTGATAATGGCAGGAAATTATGGGGGGGCAGGGAGGGGAAGAGAGGAGGGATTAACGGTAGTCAATATCTGTCTGGGGATGGGGGACACTCCTTATCAACAAGGGTGCCTGAATGATGCATATTTGTATACCTAACCCTTAACTGTACCCCACAATTTTAAAATAAAAAATGTTTAAAAAATTATTATTTATTAATTTTTTTAATTATAAAGATGTGGGTTACAATTCGGGGTTAGGAATACAAACATTGATGATGCAGGTACCCTTGTTGATGAGATATACCCCTCCCTCCCCTAGCAGTTTCCCTCAACTGCCAATCCCATCTCCCCCCCAGCAGTTTCCCATTACTGCTGAATGCTTTCTTACAGTATTATAATTGTTCAAGGACCGCTTATGAGTGAGAACATGGTATTCTGTTCTTTGTTTCTGTGATAGATCACTGAGTATGATCGACTCCAAGTTGCTGCAAAGTCCATATATCTGTCCTTCTTTAAGGCTGCATAATATTCCATTGTGTATATGTACCACATTTTCTTTATCCAGTCCAGCTTCGATGGCAGCATGTTTGGTTCCATGGTTTTGCTATTGTGAATAGAGCTGCAGCAAACATGGCGTGTACAGGTATCTTTTTTGTAGAATGATTTGAATTCCTTTGGGTATATTCCCAATAGGGGATGACTGAGTCATATGGAAGGTCAATTTCTAGTTTTTTCAGAAATTGCCACACTGAATTCCAAAGAAGTTATACTAGTTTGCATTCCCACCAGCAGTGTAGAAGCATTCCTTTTTCTCCGCATCCTCACCAGCATCTGTTGTTGTTTGTTTTATTAATGTTGGCCACTCTTATTGGGATTAGGTGGTATCTCAATGTAGTTTTGATTTACAATTCTCTGATGATTTTTACTGTACCCTTTCTATGCTTAGATGTATTTAAATGCACAAATACTTAACATGGGGTTACAGTTGCCTACAGTAGCCAGTGCAGTAACATGCTGTACAGGATTGTAGATTAAAAGCAATAGGCTATACCATATAGCTTAGGTGTGTAGTAGGCTATGCCATCTCGGTTCTTGTAAGTATACATGATGATGGTCACACAACAATGAAATCACCAAACGATGCATTTTTCAGAATGTATCCCCATGACTGTGTTAATGTGCAGAGAAGAGTTTATAGAGAGGGGAAAATGTTATTTGGAATAAGATCCCTGAGAAGTTCTTAGAGATGTAGAATTGAAAATTTAGGCAGAGGTAGAAACCTTAGACAGGAGGGATACCTTTTTCTTTGGTTGAATTTGGGGAACAGGAAATGCCATGAACCTTGGCTTCCCTATATACATATTTTGTGTGCATATGGGCCTAGTTAAGTGCCCTATTTGGGATTTATCTTCAAATAAAGTAACTGTGTAGAAAAATAGTTGATTTAGTCTAGCCCTGTGCTCTTCAATACAGTAGCCACTAGCCATATGCAGGCATTTAAATTTAAATTAATTAAAATGAAATAAAGTTTAGTTTCTCAGTTGCTCTGGCCACATTTCAAGTGCTCACTAGTCACATGTAGCTAGTGTTTACTGTGTTGAACAGCAAAGATAGAGTGCATCTCCATCCTCATAGAATGTTCTGTTATATAGCACTAGTCTAATCCATTTTTAAAACAAAATTTCCTGTGGGATACATAATCTTAAATTGTGCAGTGTTATAACATCATTAATTAATTCTTTTGGTTTTTTTTTTAGTTAGAGTCTCACTCTGTCACCCAGGCTGGAGTGCAGTGGGACACTCATGGCCACCCTAGCATCGACCTGCTGGACTCCAGAGATCCTTCCACCTCAGCCTTCCAAGTAGCCAGAACTACAGGCGTGCTCTACCACGCCTGACTAATTTTTGATTTAACGTAGAGATGAGGTCTTGCCAAGTTTCCCAGGCTGATCTTGAACCCACAGGGTCAGGCAAACCCCTTGTTTCGACCTCCCAAAGTGCTGGGATTACAAGCTGAGCCACCGAGCCCAGCCATGAATTAATCCTAAAAATATAACCTAAACTGGGTGCATTGACTCCAAATGTAACCCCAGCACTTTGGAAGGCAGAGGTAAGAGGACTGCCTGATCCCAGGGGTTTGAGACCAGCCTGGGCAACTTGGTGAAACCTCTTCTATATAATAAACCAAAAATTTAAGCGGATGTGGTGGCACTTGCCAATAGTTCCAGCTACTTGGAAGGCTGAGGTGGAAGGATTACCCAAGCCTAGCAGGTCAAGCCTGCGGTAGCCATGAGTGTGCTACTGCACTCCAGTCTGGACAACAAAGTGAGATTGACTCAAAAAATAAACAAATAAATACAAATGAAAATAAAACACCCCTAAAGTATGGTATTTTTTTAGCATCATTAGCCATCAAAGATAGGGGGGGAAAGGTATAACTATTTTTTTAAAAAAGTTTCGATTAAGTATCATTTGATTTGGAAAGATATTGTTAAATTTAAATAGGTAGTTTCATGCACACAAGAGCTTTTCACTGGTTCTTATTACTCTCATTTAAAAATTCTGTATGGAGTGATCCTAGTATCATACATAATTATACCTCTTGAACATGGTTTTTAACTCTTTCTGAAAACATTTTCAGACGATGTTCCCGAAAGTTCACTTTTCTCACCAAAGTCATCAAAGGAAAAGTCTGCCTCCCCTCCTAAACTATCGCTGTCGGATACCTCACCAACTCCAGTTGGGAGAAGGGGTCGTCTGGCCAACCTTGCTGCAACGATTTGCTCCTGGGAAGATGATGTAAATCACTCATCTGCAAAGCAAAACAGTGTACAAGAACAGCCTGGTACCACTTGTTTATCCAAATTTTCCTCTGCAAGTGGAGCATCTGCTAGGATCAATAGCAGCAGTGTTAAGCAGGAAGCTACATGCTGTTCCCAAAGGGATGGCGATGCCTCTTTGAATAAAGCTACATCCTCGAGTACTGCTGATACATCTTTGGTTGATGCCTCAATTTCTAGCTCTGTGGTAAGTCAAGGCCATTTTAGTCTTCTTTTTTTGTTATGAGGGGTTGTTTGTGTGTGTGTGTGTGTGTGTGTGTGTGTGTGTGTGTGTGTGTGTAGACGTCTATTGTATACTATATACATAGTGTGTCTATATATATTTTTAGAAAATCAGTTTTATAGAAAGTGAAAGTAATAAGTTTGGTACCCTATCCTAAGATAAATTAGCAGCTGACAACTAAAACTACACCAACTTAATGCAAATCCAAAGTATATAATAATGGAATGATGGATCTTCTTTTTGGTAACTAAAGGGAATATTGAAAATTGAATCCTCCATTAGAGTGTTTTATGTATACGTATAAATAAAAGACAGCAAACATTTCTGAAAAGATATATAATAAACTAGTAGCTGTAGTTTCCTCCAGGAAGGCAAATTGCCAAACAGGATATGACATGTTCACTGTATATCCTTCTGAAATATTTGAAAATTGACTTTGTGCGTGTATTACCCTAACAGTTTTTTTTATAATCTTAAAAAACCAAAAAGGAAAAAGTGTTGTATTCCTGACTATTGTCTTGTAGTATACTGCTAGACTTTGGAATTAAACAGACTTGCATTCAATCCCAGCTCTCCACATAATTAGATGTGTGACTTTGGACAAGTTATGTAATCTTGCAAAGCCTTATGTTTCTATATGTGAAATGAGAACAAAGTGTTACTGGGAGGGTTAAATAAGTTGATATGCATAAAGCTTAGCAGAGTACCTGATTATATACTAAGTTCTTAATTTATCACAATTAGCCATAAAGTACATGATACTATTTTGTTAAATTGATATTGACTTATTAAAAATGTAATTTGGTTTCATAACTTTAGAAATCTAATAATGGTACTAGTGTAATCATATAAAGAAAAAAATTTCTTAAATAGGAAGTGATCCTATCCCTAATACTTAATTACCTGTCAATATATTATGCAGACTAAACTACATATTATAGTTTAAACAATAGCATTTTCTTATTTTTTTTCCCCTCAAACCTTTCAATTTAGTTTGTTCTTAGAGAGCAAGAGCACTTCATTTCATCTTATTTATTTATTTATTTACTTACTTACTTGTTTATGAGTTGGAGTCTCACTGTCACCCATGCTCACGGCCACCACAGCCTTGACCTGCTGGGCTCAGGCAATCCTTCCACCTCACCCTTCCCAAGTAGCTGGAACTAAAGGTGCATGCCACCATGCTCGGCTAATTTTCCTTGATTTATTGTAGACACAAGGTCTCACTAAGTTGTCCAGGCTGCTCTCAAACTGCTGGGCTCAGGCAATTCTCTCGTTCCTACCTCCCAAAGTGCTGGGATTACAGGTGTGGGTCTCCACGTCTGGCCTCATTTTACTTTCATGAGTCTCACATAAAGCCTACTAAGTAAATAGTATTTGAATTGTTTTGTTATTGGACTACTTGTAGATATTGTCAATGTTGTTTATTTTAAGTGTTTTCATGTTTCAGAAAGCTACTTCTTCTCCAGTGAAATCTACTACATCCATCACTGATGCTAAAAATTGTGAGGTACAAGATTCTGAGCAATGTCAGAAAATTCTTGTTAGTCCCCTGAAAACAGAGGTGCCAAAACCAACTGCAAAGTCAATTGTATCCCAGACAGTTCGGTCCAAAGAAGAACTAAATAGAGAATTTTGTCTGCAATCTCAATCTAAAGGCAAATCTACAACACCAGGTTATGTATTTTTTTAAAAAGTTATTGCTGACCATATGCAGCATATCTGTTCTCAGCACTTTATTTGTTTTGTTTGTTTTTCTCAGCATTTTAAATATTCAGTTGTGAATGGTATGGTGTTGGTTTGCCAGGGCAAATGCCTGAATGTTCCAAATGAGACTTCTTCGTATTCAGCTTTAATTTATTCAGTGAATATTCATTAGTATAGACTAGCCTATTTACTGGTCACAGTATTAAACCTGTTACATTTTACTAGTTTTCTAGGATGATCATACTGGTTACTTTATTCTATATTTTTCGATACAGATGAAGCATATTCAACTGAAAATCACATATTAGGGGCATAATGGAGAAACATCTTGTAACCAAGTATGCAGAGCAGTGCTTCTCATTCTTTACTCTGAAGGAATCCCTAATAGCAGAGAGAAGTGAATGTACATACAAATGACTCTACTCTGAATTTGTATGTGTGTGTACATCGTGTGAATGTTTACATGTAAAAGTTCAACATTTCTTACCATGGTAAACTGATTCTCCAAAAATAGAATATTTATCTTGTGGTGACTTATACTTCCTGGGCACACTCTCATATGCTATAGACTGAGAAACATGGGTCTGAAATATATGGTTTACTTTGAACTATATTCTTTCTTATTGAAAAGACTGAGTTCAAAGTCTTAACTTCTTAAAAATCCAATCTCTTCAGAAACTATAGTTCTGGGGAAATAGAGAGATGAAAGTGGGGAAGCCATTAGTTATGGGGTAAATAGAAATCAGCAGTCAGTTTCCAGATGAACCAAAACGAGAACAGCAAGATCCCCACCTGGCATAGGACTAGTTGCTCCTAATTTTTTTTTAAGAGTTAAGGCTTAGATAAGAAGCATTCTTTTTATAGTTCTTGGCTACTGGATATACTCAAAGTCACATTTCCAGGGTCTAAGAGATATTTCATTCAGAGGTTTCTTTGTATTCTTAATGAACTGTAGTTTGAAATATGGCATGAAGTGGTAATAAGTGGAGTCCTCAAACCCTTGCCATGGGTCAAATTTTATGCTTTTCTTGTTTTTGCAGATAACACTATACTGGAACACAGCTTCACCCATTTATTTATATATTGTCTGTGATTGCTTTCATGCCATAGTGTAGAGTTGAATAGTTGTGACAGAGGTCACATGACCTGCAAAGCTCAAAATATTTGCTATTTGGATCTTATTGACTGAGTCAGGGTTTCACTCTTTTGCCTAGACTGTAGTGCAGAGGCATAATCACCACTCACCACAGCCTCAACTACCTGGGCTCAGGCAATCCTTCCACCTCACCTTCCTGAGTATCTGGGACTACAGGCATGCACCACCATGCCCAGCTAATTTTTTAATTTTAATTTTTTCTAGAAACAAGGTCTTGCCATGTTGCCTAGGCTGGTCTCAAACTCCTGGGCTCAAGCAATCCTCCTGCTTCAGCCTCTCAAACTGCTGAGATTACAGGTGTGAAACACTGCCTAGTCTATTTTCTAGGTCTTTATAGGACAATATTTACAAACCTCTGATATTAGTAAGACTATTTTTATGTAACACAACCTTAGAGTCCTTTTGATGGGGATAATATATATCCTATTTTTTATTTTTATTTTTTCTTTAAATGTACTTCATACTATTTCAGATGAGTTCAATTTTTTTTTTTATCAATATTTTTTATTATGATTTTGTGGGGTACAGTTAAGGGTTAGGTATATAATTATGTTTCATTCAGGCACCCTGTTGATAAGAGGTGTAGATGAGTTCAATTTTAAGACATTGTGAAGTCATGACATCCTTTTGATATGTAAATAATTCCTAATTTTTCTTTTGAGGGTGAAAAAGGAAAAATAAAACCCAGGTTTTAACATATTAGTTTTTCTAAAAGCAAAATAAAATATATTGGCTGTAGAAATGTAAGTAAGCCAGGCTCAGTGGCTCACGCCTATAATCCCAGCACTTTGGGAGGCAGAGACGAGAAGACTGCCTAAGCTCAGGGGTTCGAGACCAACCTGGACAACATGGCAAAATCTGGGCATGATGGTGCATGCCTATAGTTAGAAGGCTGAGGTGGAAGGATTGCCTAAGCCCAGCAGGTTGAGATGATAGTAGCAGTGAGCTTGCCACAGTACTCCAACCTGGGTGACAGAGTGTGACTCTAACTCTAGAAAAAGAAGAAATATAAATAGTTGGAAGTTATCAAGATGAGGACACTTGGTGGTTAAAGTAGATTAATTAATACATATACAGTCAATTTCCAGTTAAGTTCTGATTGTTCCGTTTTTTTATTTTTGTTTTTTGAGTTGAAGTCTCTCTGTTGCCCAGGCTGGAGTGCGGTGGCACACTCATGGCCACTGCAGCCTCAGCCTGCTGGGCTTAGGTGACCCTTCTGCCTCAGCCTTCCAAGTTGCTGGAATTACAGGCATGCACCACCATACCTGGCTTATTTTTTGATTTCTTGTGGAGACGAGGTCTTACCAAATTGCCTAGGCTGGTCTCAAACCCACGGGCTCAGGCAGTCGTCTCACCTTGGCCTCCCAAAGTGCTGGGATTATAGGCTCGAACCACTGCGCCTGGCCAGATTGTTTAGTTTGAGAGTTTCTAATCCCCACTGCCCTTTCACTGTACCATTTTAAAATTCTTTTTTTAAAATAACTAAATCCGAATAAGCATGTAATTAAATGAAATAGTATGGTAAAAAAAAATTTTTTAATTTTGAACGATTTTCATACTGTTTACTTTGTGAATGAATATTCCTAGTCAAATCAAAGCATTTTGGAGTTGTAATGAAACTTAGAACTTTCTCCCTAGAAATCATAATTATTACTTATTTTGAATAGACTCCAAAAATGTGTATGTTTTCTGTAGGAGGAACAGGAATTAAACCTTTCCTAGAACGCTTTGGAGAGCGTTGTCAAGAACATAACAAAGACAGTCCAGCTCGTAAAACACCCCAAAGAACCCCTATTATCACTCCAAATACAAAGGCCATCCAAGAAAGATTGTTCAAGCAAAATACATCTTCATCTACTACCCATTTAGCACATCAGCTCAAGCAGGTATGGTATACTGCATCTAACATTATTTATCAAGTGGTTGCAGCATAGAATCTAGAAATCAAATGTGAATTCTGAAACCAGTTTTGTTGACTGAGATAAATAGCATCCCATTTCTTTATATCATTCATTTCAAACTGGAAATTTGTTTATAATTTGTTAAATTATAAACTGAAGACAAAGGTTTTAATATTGTGTAGATATTCTTAAACATGCTACTGACTCGTGTGTAAAATATAGCTTTTGATGGTTTAGGAACGTGAAAAGGAGCTAGCATGTCTTCGGGGCCGATTTGACAAGGGCAATATATGGAGTGCAGAAAAAGGCGAAAACTCAAGAAGCAAACAGCTAGAAACCAAACAGGTAATGAAAACAAGAAATACAAGAGCAAACTTGGTACCAAATTTGTGTTGGGGTCTAATTTATAGTTCTATATTGCAAAATAATTTTTTACACACTTTCCTGTTCCAATTATTGTCATTTTCCATTTATAACTCCTCTGCTTTTATGATATTTTCCCATTTCATCAATGAAACGCTTCACCATATTCACTTATGACTCTAAAATCAAATTTAAAAGTTATTTTCATTATTCATTTGATTTCATTTCAGATTCTTTTTTTTTTTTAGTGTATTTTATTTCTTTGAGTCAGAGTCTCACTTTGTTTCCCTGTCTGGAATACAGTGACATGCTTGGAGCTACTGCAGCCTTGACCAGCTGGTCTTAGGCAATCCTTCTACCTCAGCCTTCCAAGTGGCTGGAACTACAGACATGTGCCACCATGCCCAACGAATTTTTTGAATTATTGTAGAGATGACATCTTGCCAAGTTACCCACGCTGGTCTCGAAACCCTGGGCTCAGGCAGTCTTCTTATCTCCACCTCCCAAAGCACTAGGATTACAGACATGGGCCACCATGTCCAGCCAGATTCTTTTTTATATTCTACTTAGCCAGGCGTAATGGCTTATGCCTGTAATCTCAGCACTTTGGGAGGCTGAGGTGAGAGGATTGCCTGAGCCCGGGGGTTTGAGACCAGCCTGGGTAACTTGGTGAGACCTCATCTCTACAATAAATCAAAAAATTAGCCAGGCATGGGGGTGTGTGCCTGTAGTTCCAGCTACTTGGAAGACTGAGATGGAAGGATTGCCTGAGCCCAGCAGGTCCAGGCTGCAGTGGCCATGAGCATGCCACTACACTCTAGCCTAGGTGACAGAGAAAGACTCCAACTCAAAAAAAAAAATTTACTTCTGCTAGTTCTAAAATGTATTTCAGAAACTACTTTTCTCATTGATGACTATATAACTCTCCCCATTCCTTACTTTTAGACTATCTGGCATCTTTTCAGTCACCACATACCTTTCAGATTTCTGTGTACTCTTGTCAAATTTCAATAAGAGTCTTCAACAGATTCCTACTTGTGTCAACTATGTTCTATTTCATTTACATACCTATTGTGGACAAAGTACTATGTTAGAATAACTTTTTAAGCTAATAAATTAGATTTACAGTGGAGACTAATAGAAAGTAAAACACTAAATTTGACTAGTATTCTCTGAGAACGAGCTACTGGATTGATTTTGTTTTTTGTCAGTTTTCTTGCTTTAAAGATCAGTTTTCTTGTTTTCCAGATCTCAACCTTTTCTTCTTCTCATGTTCTCCAGGGCCTCTCTTCCCTGTCCTCATAATGTAGATTTAGCCAAGTACAGAAATGCTGCTGATGCTCAGCCCTGCTGTGCTGCTCTCTTTCCTGAGCTCTAAGGCTTGGCTAGCTGGTAAAGCTTTCTCTGCTTTGCTATAGTATCTTCCCCTCTGTAGTCTTTGTCATCACTTGTGGTTTTACTCTTTACCTCTTCATCTGAATTAATCTGAGAGTTCTTCTTTGGCTCCTTCCCGTTGTTTACTGTGTCTTCCCATCTGCTGCTCCTAGCTCGTACATCTGTCAGCAAACTGCCTTCCATATTTTCCTCTGCCATTACCGTAGTTACTACCATATTTTCTACTGAACACCCTGCTTCTTGTCTTACTACTGTCCAATCCATCTTACCAGTTGGTGCCAGAGAAATATTTCTAAAAGGCAAATATTCATATATTCACTTGCTTAAAATGTTGGAGCTCAAATAATAATAATAATAAAACAAGAAAAAATGCAAAACAAGATGTTGGAGCTCTCCTCATAGCCATCATCAGAAAAATGTCCAAGCTGCTTGTCTTGACATGCAGACTCATCCTCGCCTGGTTCCTCCCCACTGCTCCTCCGCTGGCATGCTTTAGTCCCATCTTGCAGACTATTTGCAGTTTCTCAAATGTACCCATGTTTTCACAGTTCTTTGCCTTTGTCTTGCTGCTCTTTCTGCCTGGAGTATCTCCCTGGTGAGTTCCTACTTCTTTAAGAATAGGTCAAACTTTAATCCCCTCTGGGAATTCTTACTTGGCCCTTTTCCCAAGAGGCAGCCCCTTTCTTTTCACCAATGTCATCCTGTATATATGTCAACTGGAATATTTATCTTCCTGTGAATGTTTTAACTTTGTACTCTACCGCTGCCTATGAGAACATTATCTCTGTGTTCTTAGTGCTTGACTGAGAACAAGAGCTCAATAAATTTGTATTTGAAGGAAGGAATGAGTATGCTGGTCCCTCCTATCAGCATACAACAAGCTATTATACGTCATTTTAAAACAGAAACAACTTTCTTTTCCTCCTATTTCCCTCTTCCTTTGCCTCTTTTTCATGTAGACTCTTCCACAAGAGTTGTCTCTACTTGCTGCTTCCAATTTTTCTCTCTTGAGCTCTCTCTTTTCAGGCTTATGCCACTATCCCTTCCACGAACCACTACCTTTATCAAGTTCATCCATGATCTTCAGTGATCAGCTTTCAGTTGATTTAGGAGCATTTGACATTGTTGATCACTCTCTTCTATTTGAAGCACCTTCTTCGCTTGCTTGCCAGTATCACATTCTCATGATTTCTTGCCTTTGTCTCTGCAGAGTATAGAGCGCTGGTTCTTTTATTTTTTTTTGAGTTGGAGTCTCACTCTGTCACCCAGACTGGAGTGCAGTGGCCGCTCCCGGCCACCGCAGCCTCGACCTGCTGGGCTCCGGCGATCCTTCCGCCTCAGCCTTCCAAGTAGCCGGAATTACAGGCATGCGCTACCATGCCCGGCTGATTTATTGATTTTTTGATCTATTGTAGAGATGAGGTCTCGCTGCCCAGGTGGGTCTCGAACCCGCGGGCTCAGGCAATCCACTCACCTCAGCCTCCCAAGACGCGGGATTACAGGCTGAGCCACCGAGCCCAACGAGCACTGGTTCTTAAACTGTTTTGTACTAAATAATTCCTGGTACCTGTGAATTCCTACCCAGAGAGTTGCACATTTGCATGTAAACAAAATTCTGAACACAATAACAAGGAGCTTAGGATCCTCTCCTGAAAAAACTCATCTGTGGTGCCCACTGAGGGAGCAGCCAAAGACGTGGGAAGAAAATGCAGTTGAGTACAGTGTTACCAAAGTCCATGGAAGAAAGAACTTCTAGAAGGAAGGAGTGTTTGGTTTTGTCAAGTTTAAGTGTGGGTTGAATCAAGTTCACTGGATTTGTAGTAAGAAGTTGTGACGTGGCCCGGTGCGTGGCTCTAGCCTGTAATCCCAGCACTTTAGGAGACTGAGGCGAGAGGGTTACCTAATCTCAGGGATTTGAGACCAGCCTGAGCAACTTAATGAGACCTCATCGCTACAATAAATGAAAAAATAAGCCAGGCAGGTGGCGCGTGCCTGTTTTTCCAGCTACTTGGAAGACTGCGGCAGATTGATCACCTGAGCCCAGTAGGTCAAGGCTGTGGTAGCTGTGAGCGTGCCACTGTACTCCAGCCTGGGCAACAGAGAGACTCCAACTCAAAAAAAAAAAAAAAGAAGTTGTGATGTGGCAAGAGTAGTGTTAGTGAAGGCAGAATGCAGGCGTAATGTGTTGAGGAAGGAATTGGCAATGAAAGTAGAACCATGAATGTAGGCAGTTCTTAGAAGTTGGTTCTAATGAGGAGGGAGAAAGTAGATAGTGGCTGCAGAGGATGAAGGAGTGAAGCATGGTTCATATGTATTTTGTTCTTTCTGAGGCCGAAGTCAATTTGTAATGGAAAGAAAAAGTGAAAACTGATGGAATGAGATGAGAGTGGATGAACTCAGCATAGTGAAGAGAACAGAACTGATTAGGACCATCTCCTGTGTAATAAAAAGGATAAAGGAAAGCAGTGTGTGGGAGTTGGTAGTCTTAAAGCTATGAAAACTGAACTTTCTGCCTGATAGCTCCTGTTTTGTTCATCATTTGGATAGGGAAGGTGACAGATGGAATACTCTCTGGAGGATGGAAGAGAGCTGTCTCGGAAATAGGAGGGATAGATGGGATATGAGACCATCAATTTATAGTGGAACCAAATTCCACAGTTATATTTTCTCTAGAAATGTCCAAAGATGCTGGATATAGGCCGGGTTCGGTGGCTCAGCCTGTAATCACAGTGCTTTGGGAGGCCGAGGTGAGTGGATTGCCTGAGCCTGCGGGTGCGAGACCTGCCTGGGCAACTTGGCGAGACCTTGTTTCTACAATAAATCAAAAATTAGCTGGGCGTGGTAGCGCATGTCTGTAGTTCCAGCTACTTGAAAGGTTGAGGTGGAAGGATCGCCGGAGCCCAGCAGGTCGAGGCTGCAGTGACTGGGAGTGACCACTGCACTCCAGTCTGGGTGACCAAATGAGACTCCAATCCAAAAAAAAGATGCTGGATATAAGCATAAAGAAGTTGGGTTGGTCCAGGTTTGGGGGTTTGTCAGACAAGAGAAATGCAAGTCAGTTGAGGTGAGTGAGGTGAAGTGAAGCGATTGGTAAGGTAATGGTATTATAGTCAAGGGTCAGGTCATGAGGTCTACCCTGGACGGAGGTGTAAGAATATGGTAGAGACTATTGGAAGAAGAGCATCAAATGACTACAGGTCCCCATGAGGCCAAAGAATAGGTTCTGGTAGGAATTCTTGAGCAAGAGCACTAAAGAGATTGGAGGAGTGGTTGAAGTGGGATATTGGCGTTAAGGATTTTAGAGAAGTGAGAACAGATTATGGGTGATGGTTTAATTAGAGTGATGGTGAAGGTCTTTGGAGTTGAAATGTTCATGCAACTGAGAGACCAAGGTATTGTTTTGGTAGTCTTTGTGACTGCTGATAATCACCTACATGGTTACAAGTATTGAACTAGAGAAGTGTCCGGGGAATGCAGGGGAGTGACTTACGGATTTTTAATTGGTACTAGACAGTTGGAGTGGGATGGAGAGTGTGGTCACCGGATTGCTTGAGTCTCAAAGGAATAGGATCTGTTAAAAGAGGATTAATAAGCATGGAAATATTAGAGAATGAAGAGGAGGTTGTCTCTTATGATGTCAGGGTTTAGGAAAGAGAATCATCTTTACTTCAGAGCTTTGTAGGGTAAGTTCTGTTTTACAAGAGATCTAGGATTCTGTTAGGGCTAGAAAGTGGAGGGAATATTTAGTGAAGAGGTTGAAGATGTAGAAGTGTTTGTTTACCATGAGGAGGATTGCTTGGGCACACAATAGTGTTTTTGGAGAGACTGATGCAGGGGAAATTTGACTTGGGAGGAGAAAGCATATGTATGTGGGTGAGACTAATGGTAAAGATGGAGGGAATAAGATTATTGTAATAGTTAACACGTATTGAGTGCTTACAATGTGCCAGGCCTCTGGTAGGTGCTTTTTAATACATTATATCATTTAATCCTCACAATAACACTGTAAATTAGGTAATAATGTAATTCATCCCTTTTCTGAATGAGGGACTAAAGCTTAAGGAGGTAAATCACTTGTCTAAAAATAGTACAGCAGACAAGTGGTGAAACTAGGCATTTTAAGTTGACCTTCTGACTCCAGAGCCTTCTTCTCAAACTACTATGTTTATTCCTGGATAGTGGTCAGCAATAAAAGGATGTAGGGCATAGAGAGTTAATTTGGCCTTATGTTTTCAAAGCTATGATTTAAGTCTTTAAGAATGAGTGAAGCCGGGCGTGGTGGCTCATACCTGTAATCCCAGCACTTTGGGAGGCGAATGCGAGAAGATTGCCTGAGCTTACGGGTTCGAGACCAGCCTGGGAAACATGGCGAGACTTCGTCTCTACAATGAATAAAAAAATTAGCTGGTGTTGTGAGACACACTTGTGGTTCCAGCTACTTGGAAGGCTGAGGTGGAAGGATCTCCTGAGCCCAGCAGGTTGAGGCTGTGGTGGCCATGAGCGTGCTACTGCACTCCAGCCTGGGGGACAGAGCGAAACTCTGGCTCAAAAAAAAAAGGAGTAAAGTTGCTTTTCATTACCACCATAGTCATTTGCTTATTTACTCAGCAATGTTTGAGTGCCTACTGTATACAAAGCACTTAGGTTTTTTACTCTCAAGGTATCCTCAGCCCATTCTTCTCACTTCTGAAATGTACTTGTCCTGTCTTATTCTTCCCCTCCTCACACTTCTTGCTCACCCTAAAATAGTGTGTAGCATAGCATTTGATAGTTTACTTTGTTTTTAACATCAAGAGCTTCGTCTAACTTGAAACACTAAAGTCTGGAACTAGCGCTGGAAGAAGAGTACTTGGATTTGAGTACTGGCTCTGCCAGTTACTAACTGTGTACAAGTTCCTTAACTTTTCTGTGTCACAGTTTTCTCATCTGTAAAATGGAGGTCATAGTACCTGACTTAGAGGGGTGTTGAGGATTAAGTGAGGCAGTAGATGTAAAGTGCTTAGATGACTGGCACATAGTAAGCTATGTAAGTATTAGTTGCTGTTGTTCTTACTCTTATTTGATTCTTTCTACTGTTGCTTTATTCATAAAGTCTCTAAACAAAAAACAGAGAATGTTTATCTTGAATAGTCTTGGTAATGAATAAAAAGACTCAAATGAGGGATTTTTTTTCCTTCTCTCTTCTTTTCTTACCTTCTGATCTGTTTTTGTTCTTCGATTTCTTTGGACTTTACTCTCTGAGTAACTGAAAATTAAATAGAATTCTAAGGTAGGAACTGTCACCAGATGTTACAGGTGTGAATAGAGATAAGTGATGTAGGAGGAATTGTTTTCCCCTTTGTGTGGGTTTTATTTAGTTGGTTTTCTAAAACTGAACTCTGATGAATATTTTTATTTTCTCTTGCCAACAAGACTCCCAAAGAGATTTTTAAATACTGGGAATTACCAAAACTATGAAGGAGCACTGAGGGCTTGTTCTATACATTCACATACATTGTCTCTTTAAAACATTTATAGAATAATGTTTGATAATCTTGTTCAGGCCAGGTGCGGTGGCTCTCGCCTATAATCCCAGCACTTTTGGAGGCCGAGGTGAGAGGATTGCCTGAGCCCATGGGTTTGAAACCAGCCCGAGCAACTTGTCAAGAACTCATCTCTACAATAAATATAAAAATTAGCCGGGCGTGGTGGTGCATGCCTGTAGTTCCAGCTACTTGGAAGGCTGAGGCGGAAGGATTGCCTGAGCCCAACAGGTCGAGGCTGCGGTGGCTGTGAATATGCCACTGCTCTCCAGCCTGGGTGACAGAGTGAGCAACTCTGTCAACTCAAATAATAATAATAATAATAATCTTCATTTAATAACCTATAAAATGGCAATAGTTTTGAGAAATAACATTTGCTTCTTCATTTGCTTTTTGAAGGAAATTCACGGTCAGAACACTCCCCTCAAAAAACATCAAGTTGTTTCAAATACTCGGTCACTTCCAGTAACAGAAAAGGTGACAGAAAATCAAACATCAGCAAAAACTTCCAGGAAAGAACCTGCAGGTCAGTGTTTTCTATTTCAGTGTTACTTAAAACATGGGTTTCGGTTTATTACAGATTTGGAAACTGGATTGGAAAGCAGCAGTGCTGCTCAGGTGTAAAAAGACAGATCCATTTCTTCACTTCTACTTACTTTTTTGAGTCGGAGTCTTACTCTGTCGCCCTTGCTGGAGTGCCATGGCATGCTCACGACCACTGCAACTTCAACCTGCTGGGCTCAGGTGGTCCTTCCACCTCTTCCTTCCAAGTATCCACCTCTTCCTTCCAAGTAGCTAGAACCACAGGCATGCGCCACCACGCCTGGCTAATTTTTTTATTTTTATTTTTAAATTTTATTTATTTATTTTTTTGATTTAGAGTCTCACTCTGTCACCCAGACTGGAGTGCAGTAGCCGCTTCCGGCCACCGCAGCCTTGACCTGCTGGGCTCCGGCAATCCTTCCGCCTCAGCCTTCCAAGTAGCTGGAACTACAGGCGCGCACTGGAACTACAGGCGCGCGCTGCCACGCCAAGCTGATTTTTGATTTATTATAGAGATGAGGTCTCGCCAAGTTGGCCAGGCAGGTCTTGAACCCGCAGACTCAGGCAATCCACTCACCTCAGCCTCCCAAAGCACTGTAATTTTTTAATTTATTGTAGTGACAAGCTCTTGCCATGTTGCTCAGGCTGATCCCGAACCCCTGAATTCAGGCTATCCTCTTGCCTCTGCCTCCCAAAGTGCTGGGTTTACAGGTGTGAGCTACCACACCCGACTACTTTCTTTTTTAATTTCTTTTTTTTGGGGGGAAGGGGGTCTTGCCTTGTCACCTAGGCTGAAGTGCTGTGGTGTAGTCATAGCTCACTGCAGCCTTGAACTACTGGACTCAAGCAGTCTTTCTATTTCAGCCTTCTGATTAACTGGGACCATAGCTGGTACATTTAAAAAAAAATTGTTTTTCTTTTTTTGAGTTGTAGTCTCACTCTCTTGCCCAGGCTGGAGTGTAGTGGCATGCTCAGTGGAGTGCAGTGGCATACCATGCCTGGCTAATTTTTTAATTTATTGTAGAGATGAGTTCTCACCAAGTTGCCCAGGCTGATCTCAAACCCTTGAGCTCAGGCAATCGCCTCACCTCGGCCTCTCAAAGTGTTGGGATTATAGGCTTGAGTCACCGCACCCATCTCCTGTATGTGATCTTTAGAGAAATGTCTTCTTAAGCCCTTTGTCCATTTTTTTTTTAATTGTGGTCTTACTCTGTTGCCCAGACTGGAGTGCAGTAGCATGCTCACGGCTACTGAAGCCTCAACTTTCTGGGATCAGGTGATCCTTCCGCCTTAGCTTTCCAAGTAGCTGGAACTACAAGCATGTGCCACCACGCACGGCTAATTTTTTGATTTATTGTAGAGATGAGGTCTTGCCAAGTTGCCCGGGCTGGTTAACAAGTTTTTATAGAGATGGGGGTCTCTGTATGTTATCCAGGTGAGTCTAAACTCCTGTACTCAAGTGATCCTCTGCCTTAGCCTCCCTAAGTGTTGAAATTATAGGCATGAGCACACTCAACTGGATTTTTCTTTTTCTTTTTCTTTTTTTTTTTTGAGTTGGAGTCTTACTCTGTTGCCCAGGCTGAAGTGCAGTGGCACACTCACGTCCACCGCAGTTTCAACCTGCTGGGCTCAGGCAATCCTTCCACTCAGCCTTCCAAATAGCTGGAACTATAGGCATGCACCACCACATCCAGCGAATGTTTGGATTTTATTGTAGAGACAAGGTTTTGCCATGTTGCCCAGGGTGGTCTCAAACCTGTGGACTCAGGTAATCCTCTCACCTCTACCTCCCAAAGTGCTGGGATTATAGGCATGAGCCACCACTCCTGGCTTGGATTTTTCTATTTCTGAAAAAAAATGCCATTGGGATTTTGACTGAGTCTGTAGATCACTTGGGTGATATTGACATCTTAACAATATTAAATCTACTAATCCATGAACATGGGATGTCTCGCCACCTATTTATGTCTTTCATTCCTTTTAGCAATACTTGTAGTTTTCAGGGTACAAGTCTTTCACTTCTTTGGTTAGGTTTATCTATATATTTTATTCTTTTTGGTGCTCTTGTAAATAGAATTATTTTTGTAATTTCCTTTTCAGATTGTTGTTAATTCATTCACAATTGCTGATGTGAATTTATGTCATTCCAAATTATCTTCCTAGTTGCCACTAATATGAATTTACATCTTTGCAAATTCTGTTTCTGAATGCTGCAAAGTTGTCATACATATATGTTATTATATTTTACTTGAAAATGAATAGTGAGGCAAGGAGAAAATTGAGGTAGTTATCTGATATCGACTGCAATGTAATTAATTAATGTAGTTGGTAAAAATGGCAAGTAGGTCATTATTTTGTTGCGATTAGTGTTGTACACTTGCCTTTTGATATTTCAGAACTTTCATACTTCAATGTTAAAAATAATTTACCATAATTATGGAAAATGAAGGAATATATGCTGATGAGCTTTCTGAGGTCGAAGGGGAATCCGGTGAACTTATTAGTGATAGTGAGACAGACAGTGATGTAATGATGCAATTTAGATGAAGAAATATATGTGTGTACATATATTATATATATATTCGGTTTATAACCTGAATAAAAATACAAAGTACGAAATGCAAGTCAGTGTGGTGTCTGAGGCAAATACTGGATATGTCTGCAACTTTCAGCTGTATTGTGAAAAAGGTGACAATTTAGGAAAGACAGTTTCACTTGTGCTTAACGACTGAAGTTGTGGCAACCAGCTATAGATTTTTTAAATTTTCCCCTGCTTTCAGTATTAGGAAAGTGAAAAATTTGACAATCGCAAATGTGTTAATAGTATGTAGAGACTCAACTGATTTTTGTGTGTTTATTTTCCATTCTGCAACTTTGCTGAATTTGTTAGTTCTAACTGTATTTTTGTGGAGTCTTTCAGGTTTTCTGCATATAAGACTATGTGATTTATGAACAGAGTTAATTTTACCTTTTCCTTTTTAATTTGGATGCCTTTTATTTACTTTTTCTTACATAATTGCTCTGGCTGGGGCTTCCAATGCCATGTTGGATAAAAGTAATTAAAACAGGCATCCATGTGTGTTCCTGACCTTAGAGGTAAAACTTTGTTTTTTACCACTGATTATGTTAGCTGAGGGCATTTCAACTGTGGCCTTTGTTATGTTGGGCTACTTTCCTTCTATTCCTAGTCTTTGTGACTGAATGAATTGCAGAGCACTATGTGTAGTATGATCATAAAACAAAATGATATACAGCGATGTGCACATGGGGAAAACTGGAAAACAAAAAACAACCTGGTAATATTGCTGTCCCCTTTCTCTCTCTCGGAGGGAGGAGGAAGGAGGTGGGAAATTTAAGAGAGGACAGGTGTTTGGAGGGGGGTGCTGTATACACTTCTAGATTTGAATATTTTAAAACAAATGCATAGTTTTACAATCAGAAAAATATATACAGACCAGGCATGGTGGCTCATACCTGTAATCCCAGCACTTTGTGAGACTGAAGCAGGAGGATCACTTGCGCATTGGCGCTTGAGACCAACCTGGGCAACATAGCGAGACTTCAGCTCTACAAGAGATAAAAACAATTAGCTGGACATGTTGGCATATGCCTTTATTTGCAGCTATTAGGAGGTTGAGGTGGGAGGATCACTTGAGCCCATTAGTTGGAAACTGTGGTGAGCTGTGATTGTGCCACTGCATTCCAGCCTCGGTGACTGAGTGAGACCACAACTCAAATAAAACAAAGCAAAAGATAAATAAGATTCCTTAACTAGGAAATTGTGGGTTCTTATATACATTAATATTATCTATCTTATAAAAAATTTTTAGGTGTCACTGATTGCGAAATGATGAAGTCTAGTCCTTTGAAGATAACATTGTTTTTAGAAGAGGACAAATCCTTAAAAGTAACATCAGAACAAAAGCCTGAGCAGCAAATTGGTTGGTTTTTATTCTTTATTTTTTATTAACTCTACACACACAAAAGAAATAATATATTGATAGGCACACATATTCAAATTTTAATGTCTTACGATTTTATAATACTTTCTCTTTTTAGCCAGAATATCCTCTAGCTTCCAAAGAGATGTGGTACTATTAACAGTTACTGCTAGGTCCCAGGCGCCTGCGAAAATTTTGTTAAAACTCTCACTGACTGACTGACAGGGAGAGGGCAGGTGCTGCCCTCCCACACTCTGCATATACTGGCAGAATGAAGTTTATTAGTGGACTCCGCCCTAAGGAACATTAGCATTTGCCTACTATTTGCTGTGTGAAAGGTTGGCTCTCAACAATAGAAAAAGAGTCATTTGAAATGACATTTTTTGAAAGTCTGAAGCTGATGGCTATTATCCTAGAATTTGAATTCTTTTTATTTTATTTTATTTTTTTTTTGAGTTAGAGTCTCACTCTGTCAGCCACGTTGGAATTCAGTGGCACACTCATGGCCACTACAGCCTTGACCTGCTGGACTTAGGCGATACTTCCACCTCAGCCTTCCAAGTAGCTGGAACTATGGGTGTGTGTCACCATGACCAGCTAATTTTTTCTTTTTCTTTTCTTTTCTTTGTTTTTTGAGTTGGAGTCTCACTCTGTCACCCAAACTGGAGTGCAGTGGCCCGCTCCGGGCCACCGCAGACTCAACCTGCTGGGCTCCGGCGATCCTTCTACCTCAGCCTTCTAAGTAGCTGGAACTACAGGCGCGTGCTACCACGCCTGGCTAATTCTTTTGATTTATTTAGAGATGAGGTCTCGCCAAGTTGCCCAGGCAGGTCTCGAACCCACAGGCTCAGGCAATCCACTCACCTCAGCCTCCCAAAGTGCAGGATTACAGGCTGAGCCACCGAGCCCAGCTTTAATTTTTTCTTGATTTATTGTAGAAACGGGGTCTCGCCAAGTTGCCCAGGTTGGTCTCAAACCCCTACCTCCCAAAGTTCTGGGGTTATAGGCATGAGCCACCACGCCTGGCTAATTTGAATTCTTAATACTGTTACTTAAACCTAAAACATTGACTCAGCTCTTGATAGACCCAACCTTCATTTCTTAGAAAATGCTATTGAAACTCTGGAAATTATCTTGGTTTCATATATTAGTAGTATTTTCATATATATATATATCTTTTTTGTTTTTATTTAGGAGATGCTTTATGCCCTTTTCCCTGTTTTTTTAAGTAAGCATGTGAATATTAAATCTTCTGTTATCCCTTTAATTCTTAAAGTTTGAATCACAGTATCCACTTATTAAAATATTTTTCAGAAGTGGTACGTGGAATTGAGATGAGCGTGGATAATGACGATGATATAAATAGTTCGAAAGTAATTAATGACATCTTTAGTGATGTCCTAGAGGAAGGTGAACTAGATGTGGAAAGAAGCCCAGAAGAGATGGATCAGGTGGGAGCAGAAAGCAACGAAGAACAGGAAGATGCACTGAATATTTCCTCAATGTCTTTACTGGCTCCATTAGTGCAGACAGTTGGTGTGGTAAGTCCAGAGGTAAGAAAAGGCTAATGTAAACAGGACCATGACATACATAAACTAAGTAATTTTGATTGACCCCCCAACTCTTTTTTTGTTGGCACATGGGGATTTGCCAAGGGATTTTGTAAGGTTCGTCAGTTCTCTTAAGAGAGTTTTTTTTTTTTTTTTGAGTTGGAGTCTCACTTCATCACCCAGGCTAGAGTGTAGTGGCACACTTACAGACACCCCATTGTTGACCTGCTGGGCTCTGGTGATCCTTCCACCTCAGCCTTCCAAGTAGCTGGAACTACAGGTGCGCGCAATCACGCCTGGCTAATGTTTTTTTTTGTTTTGTTTTTGTTTTATTTTTTATTGTAGAGACAAGGTCTCACCAAGTTGCCCGGGTTGGTCTCAAACCTGTAAGCTCAGGCAGTCTACTCGTGTCAGCCTCCCAAAGTGTTGGGATTACAGGCTGAGCCACTGAGCCTGGCCTCAAGAGAGTTTTAAACTCCTCCGTCGTTTCCTTTGACTTTAGATACAATCCAAACATGGCTTAAATGGTCAGACTTTGGGACTCAAATTTTGGCTCTGCTATTTACTGACTGTTTATTGGTCAGATTATTTAACCTCTTCATGTCACAGTTCCCTCATCTGTTAAATGGGGTTATTAATTGTACCAATATCATGGGGCTGATGTGAATATTTAGTCACGTTAGTATATTGGTGTTTAGCACCAGACACATATAACTGACATTTATTGAGAACTAACTACTGTTAATAGTTATTATCCTAAATTAGAATAACTGCAGTTCTGGAAATTGATTCAATTAAAAATACTTTTAAAAGGAATGTAAGTTTCAATTGTCTTTGTACTTTCATTTACTCATTTACATTTTAGGAACTTATTTTAGTTTCCTTTGTTTTTATGATGAGTCGATCAACTTACTGGATGTCTTATTTCCTAATAATGGAGAATAGTTCATTTATTTTCACAGAATTAAATGAATTATCACTTAGAATCAATGTTAATTAACTATAAAGTCTATTAATATGTGATGTATATTCCTGCAGAGTTTAATTTCCTCGCCTAGATTGGAATTGAAAGACACCAGTGTAAGTGATGAAAGTCCAAAACCAGGAAAATTCCAAAGAACCCGTGTTCCTCGAGCTGAGTCTGGTGATAGCATTGGTTCTGAAGATCGTGATCTTCTTTACAGGTAAGAACATTTCTAGATTGTATGTACTTATTGAGAGTCATGGTTAAGATTGACATAAGTTGTCTTACAATTTGTAATTAATGTTGTTAGTAATTCATGTATATAAAAGTTTGGAATAACTTTTATCAGCCTCTTTCACCAGTTTTCAATACCATTCTGGTGAAATGTTCTGCTGATATATTTGTTCAAATTATGATGATGTGTTCAATAAAGGATAGTGCTCAGTGTGTTGCTGGATTTCTAATAGAATATAACTTATCTCCTAAAGTATTGATGCGTATAGATCTCAAAGAGTCAAAGAAACAGAACGTCCATCAGTAAAGCAGGTGCTTGTGCGGAAGGAAGATGTTACTTCAAAATTAGATGAAAAAAAGAATGCCTTTTCTTGTCAAGTTAATATCAAACAGAAAATGCAGGTATGCATATTTGTGGAAAGGTGATTTGGAATGTTTCTTGCACTAGATTGTAAGATCTGTGAGGACAAGGACCAAGTCATAGTCATTTCTGAATCCCAAATAATTAGAACAGTGTTTCACACATAGAAGTTTAGTAGATCTCTCTTGACTTCAATTGAGTTTTTCTTTTTTGGAAAAGTTGAAAGCTTGCTTGATATTGCTGAAATATTTATTTTTAAAGATAATTATTATAAATATCCTCAAACTATAATTATTAATTAGATGACAGTGGTATAGTGTGAAATTTATTTGTGCTCTTTGAGGTTCTTTTATGCTAAGGAAGGCATTTTTGAAAAGCATTATTGTAATTTAAATAAATGAATCAGATACTTTCTAAATCTCTGTATATTGGATATAGCCCCAATTTTAATGTGTGAATTAGAAGTATTTTCATAAGGAAAAATGTATATGGTTTAATTTATAACATATTAAATGTTTTTGGTACCTAGTCCATAAACTTGAATAGTGAAACTGTAACATTTTGATTTTATTGTTTGGAAATTTTAGAAACTGTTCAAGATTAGTTAGAATATTAATAAAATTAAAATTGTTTCCTCCTCATTGGTTTTCTAGGAACTCAATAATGAAATAAATTTGCAACAAACTGTGATCTATCAAGCTAGCCAGGCTCTTAATTGCTGTGTTGATGAAGAGCATGGGAAAGGATCCCTAGAAGAAGCTGAAGCAGAAAGACTTCTTTTAATTGCAAGTATGTGTGATGTACCTGAAAGAGTTCCCACAAAATTTCCGGCCAGGGAAAATTCATTTTGTCTAGTATATTCAGAAATCTCTGATTTTAGAGAAAGGACTTTTTCTGATCATCTATTTTAGCTGATCTATTTTTTGTTTCTTGTACTTAAAAGGTTTTAAGAATGCTCCCTGTAAATTAATATTTTGCATGAACCATAAAAACAACTGAAATGTATTTGAAGAAATGTATTTGTGAAGAATATCCTAAGAATGAATGAATATGTATATATACACACACACCCCTTTTCTCCCTCCTCCACTCTTATCTGTAAATAACTAAAACAACTTCTGTGAATTGTATTGTTTGTGTAAGTGTGGTGATGATGGGGCATGTTGGGGTGGAGTGATGACATCACACAAGAAAATTGACCAAAAGTTGATGTATTAAGTTATAAGGGCTTAGTAAACAGAAGAGCAATCAAGGTTTTACCCAACCACCTAGCATCTTGTTTGTACAGAGTGACTGATTTTATCTTTGGTCTTATGTATAATTGCCACCTCCATACACTTTCTTGAATTGACTCTTATTTACAAACAGTTACAATTTTAATATTTGGAATATTAACTTGCATATTTTACATAGCTGAGAAGAGAACACTTTTGATTGATGAGTTGAATAAGTTGAAGAGTGAAGGATCTCAAAGGAAGAATAAGGCTGGTCCCATATCCCAAAGTGAATTTGTCCCATCCAAAGGATCAGTTACTTTGTCAGAAATCCGCTTGCCTCTAAAAGCAGATTTTGTTTGCAGTACAGCTCAGAAACCAGGTATGATAATTTTTATTTGTTATCACTTATAGATTATGATAACTTAAAATCTACTTATAAACCTCACCTAGATTGGAATTGTACAAAATGGGAACAAGTAAAGCATGCATAAAGAAGCAAAGCTCATACTTGGATATGTGTATAAAAATAATAAGGGAAACTTTTATACATAGAGTTACCAGTTTATACTATAATGGACATGGCTCTTACTGAAAGTGAGGCTAGTTAAACCTAATTTTTTAAAGCATTTTAACTTTGGGGGAACACGCACAGGTTTGATACATAGGTATATTGTGTGACGGTGAGGGTTGGGGTTCTATTGAGCCCATCATCCAAATAGTGAGCATGGTATTCATTAGATAGTTTTTTAACCTTATTTGCCCCTTTAGGAGTCCCCAGTGTCTGTTCTCATCTTTATGTCCATGCGTACCCAGTTTTTAGCTCTCATAAAACAGATTTTGAGTGTATAGTTTTATCAACTGTAGGATATTATTTTTTTAAGTTTTTATGTGTGTAGAACATTATCCATGAGGTAAAAAAGGGCTAGACATAAGTGAGCAATGAATTTCAAGTACAGAGTAAGTAGAGAATGAAGAGCGAGTTTGCTTATTTTTATAGGAATATGATTACTTAGTTAATTCTTGCTGTCATCTGATTTCGGTGGTATATGGGCAGAAATACTCATTTATTGGTAATTTAGTATGTGGTAATTTACCATGTGAAATACGTGGTTATGAGTGACAAATAGTGAAGAAATAATATATGTGTTTATTATGGTTTATCTGAGTATTATTTACTGAAATATAGAAATTTAATTTCAGTTTTGAAATAGCAAACCATAAATTACCCTTTCGTGGCATATATTATTAGCTAAGAATTAAGAGTCAGCGGAATTTGAGGAATGTGAAGTAAAATTTCAGTTTACAATAGGGAGAAACCTTGACAAAGCTTATTCCAGGTTTATACTGTCTGTTTAGGTCTTATTTAGCTTTTTTGTCTAGAAAGTTGATTTGAGTAATTTTTCAAGTTTATATAAATCAGTTGCAGTATTACTGTATTCCTTTGGTATTTCCGAATGCTGATTAGGTAAAACTGATTTTGCTTGTACTAATTATATAATATTACTTCTTGCAGATGCAGCAAATTACTATTACTTAATTATACTAAAAGCAGGAGCTGAAAATATGGTAGCCACACCATTAGTGAATACTTTAGACTCTCTTAATGGCGATGCTCTGACATTTACTACTACATTTACTCTGTAAGTAAATTAGGCTTTTGATCAAATACCTTTTTCTTTTAATAGTGTTGATGCAGTCTAAGTGTACATGTGGCATGTATAGTCTTTGAAATGCATTATGTTCATTCTTTTAATATGGTCAAATAAATAATTTTTCCAGTTTATTGGTTCAACTCTTACATGTTTCTGATCTTTTTTGTTCCATTAAGTAGCACATTTCTTTCGTGTGACTATAGGTGTTAAATATTTTGAAATGATGTATATATAATTAAGTCTGTACCATAGTTTTGAAATATATGCCTTAAATTTCATAATGTATTTAACATTAATCTTAATGTAAAGATATTTATACTTAGTGAAACATTTATTTTTAAACAAGAGAGTCAAAGTCTAGTTTTTTAAGAAATTACTTTTGTTATTAAAGATCTCGAGTTGTAAAATATTGAGGAATATACTTCTGACTTGCGTCACAGGAAAAAATAGACTATTCTTACCAATTTTTATTGTTTTTAGTTAAAGACACAGTGGATTTCTTTACTTTTCTGTGAATTTTTATAGCATTTTTAATGACATAACTTGAGGATTTTCTCATGGTTTTATTTGCTTTTTTTCAGGCAAGATGTATCTAATGACTTTGAAATAAACATTGACGTTTATAGCTTGGTAAGCAGTTAAAACCTTTGAAAATAATCAGTAGTTTATTTTTCTTACTGATACCAGATTATAAATTAATTAAACTTTGGGTTTTTGTGTAGGTACAAAAGAAAGACTCCTCAGGACCTGATAAGAAGAAAAAAACATCCAAGTCCAAGGTAGGAATGAAAGAAACCCAGTAAAAATATTATAATCAGAAGTAATAGATAGCCTTATTACCAATTCTAATATATAATTTTTGATGATTATGACATTTTGGGATCAGTTTTATGCCCCAATTTCTAGTTACTGGGTTAAGTAGGTATTAATACTAAAAGTAATCTTGCAGTGAGTTATCATGACTCAAGTATAAGCTGATATTCTCAGACTAGATTATTCTATTTTCATTTATTTGACAACTAACTTTTATAACTGCTTAAAACTTTTCTTAAGGTTTTTCTCATTTATCTCACTAAGTTCTCTAAACCAGTACTTAAGAATTTTATGGTCACTGTGCAGGCATAAGGAATAGAACCTCTAGCTTGGTTTCCAGCCTTCCTAGTCTCTGATCTTTTGTTCTTTTTCTAAGTCAAAATTTAAAAAAACTTTTTAACTCTAACAAAAAAGGAATGAGTATGAGAAAGCCTTAGTCAAGGACTTAAATATAATGTATTCATAGTTAAGAATTATTTTCTGTGTAGGAATATCTCAAGGGGTTAATTTTAAACTCTGAATCATAATGTTTAATAGTAAATATACTAAGCTATCTTTTCTTTTAGGCTATTACTCCAAAGCGACTCCTTACATCTATAACCACAGTAAGTAAAATGTTTAAGATATTGAGCTTCTTAGAGAAATCTTCATCTTACACATACAATTTTAAATTGGTTAACCATTTTTAAGCATGTAACACTGGAAATTTTAAAAATATATTAATGGGGGGAAATACATGATAATTATGTAGGAAGAACATTTTCTGAAATGTAGTCCTTGTGTTAAGAGTTTTGTGTTTGATATTTAAATCTTTATGTCAAATAAAGGAAATAACATGTTTTTTCACAACTTTTTTTTAGAAAAGCAATATTCATTCTTCAGGTGAGTGGATCTTGAACTATTTGAAATTTAGAATAACACACACACACACACATACACACACACACTCATACACGCCACCTTGATTTATGAGTATTTACCTTGACCTTCTTTGGGATAGTATTTTCTATGTGGATTTTTTGGTGACATATAAGCTTACTGGGCAGAATAGCATGTAGTCTGGTTGTACCCTCATCAGACATGATGGTGGGCTACCAATCATCACGTTATTCTGGCATCACTGTGGGCTTTCAACTATCAGATTATTCTAGCAGTCAGTACACATATGCTACCTCGTCACTTGATAATTGCAGCAGGTAGCATTACTCTTCATCCCAACTTCTATTGTTCTATAGGTGTGTTTTGTGCTATCCACACTGTGGAATTTGCTTCTTTTAACTTTACTGATTATAACCAGCATCGAAGTTCACAGGGAACTGAAATGTCAATAAGCCAGGAAAGGCCTTCTGGAATGGCTTCAGAACTATATTTTCCAAAGGGAATTAGGAAGGAGCTGGTTTTACTCACCTCTTTTGGGTTATTGGTCTCTTTCTTATCTCTGGCATAAGAGAAAATCTATGCAGAGATGGTCTGTGCTGCTAATTATATTACCTGGGAGTATAACTAGCAATGAAGTCCTTTCTGTATTTCTTATGGGAAAGATGCTTTTTATGCACACGTGTTTTTAGGTCTGTGTCTTTAAAAACATACCACTCTCAAATATTAAGTCATGTCTGTACCTTACTTAAGTTAAAGTACAAAATATGTAGTAGTTTTTTTTCATTAGAAAATATGTTGATGATTTATTTTCTCCCATATTTGAAGATGGAGGAAAGTGGGGCAGTTTTCTCTATGGCAATATAATTTTGTCTTATTGGGGTAGAGGTAAGGAATTGTTATTTACACTTACTAAAGTCACTCTGAACTAAACTTCATTTCCTCTTTCTATACAGTCATGGCCAGTCCAGGGGGTCTCAATGCCGTGCGTACCAGCAACTTTGCCCTTGTTGGATCTTATACGTTGTCATTATCTTCAGTGGGAAACACTAAATTTGTTCTGGACAAGGTAATCCAACTTTATTTGTAAGGATATGGTATAATTTTCTCAATTTTAGAAAAATTAGGCCAATGGAAATGCCACAATGCTTTCAAATATTTGCAATCTTTGGCTGAAAATGTATGTTCTTAGAATTGTATATTTTAGCTAGGTTTGAATGAACCTAAATGATATATATTCATTTTTTATTTTGAAAATATTTCTCTCTTGTATCTTTTTTTTTTTTTTTTTTTGAGTTGGAGTCTCACTTGGTCGCCCAGACTGGAGTGCAGTGGCCGCTCCTGGCCACCGCAGCCTCGCCTGCTGGGCTCTGGTGATCCTTCTGCCTCAGCCTTCTGAGTAGCCGGAATTACAGGCATGCACTACCATGCCCGGCTGAGAGATGAGGTCTTGCTGCCCCAGCGGGTCTCGAACCCGCGGGCTCAGGCAATCCACTCACCTCAGCCTCCCAAAGGTGCGGGATTACAGGCTGAGTTACAGAGCCCGGCTCTCTTTTGTTATCTTAATAGTTTGAACTTCAAAGTGGTGCATGCTGGTTTATTCTAAGTGTCACTTCTGACTAAAGAACTATTACTTTTTGCATTTAGATGTAAAGTTTGCAGTTTTAAGACCTAATATCTTGCCTGTTTGAATCAATGATTTGAAATGAGCTATATTGTATGGATTTAGTTTTGACAAGATAGGAAAAGGGAGATTAATCTCTTAGAAAAGTACTTATGAATCTAAGGGATATCCTTCCTATTCTTCCCTCTCATATTAGAAACTTTAAAATTCACATCTGTGTTATAACAGTATTGAGTACTTTCTTATTATACATATAGCTAAACTTTTAAGTAGCTAACAAGACCATTTTGAGGGTGAGATAACTAGAGGCAAATTTTATTCCTTGACTTGACTCCCATTATGTGATACAGTGATATTTTATATTATTATAAGAGATGTATGTGCTCAGTATATAGAGATGAAAAAGTATAAAAATTAGATGGCCTGGTTTTCAGTATTTTTAGTAATTTACTCTCTAATGTTGAACAAAGTCACTTCATTTCTCTGGACTTGTTTTCCCAGTATGGACTATTAGGTTAAGTTAAAATAATCTAACTTTAAAATTTTACAAAATGTTTTATTTTATTTGTTGGACAAAAAGCAGACTATATTTGAAATTTTGATTACTATTATTAGGCATGAATGTGTTTTAACATGTTAATGTTTAAAAATTTATGTAACTTTTAATTTGGTTACGTAGCTAGTTTAACACATTGAGTGATACTGGCTCTTTTTTTTTTTTGTCTTTGATTTTGTTTATTTTAGATAAATTATGATGTAAAAGAGCGCGAGCTACTGAGCTATTTGTTCCAAGACAAGGTTGCCTTATTTTCTTTGCTTGAAACTAATGAGCTTAAGAATCAATCCTTAATTTTTGATCCACATGTGTTTGTTTCACTAACAACTCTATCTTTTGGGTTTCTTTGAATAATTAGGGACATAATGTACATTATTCTTTTTTGAGACTCTTATAAATGGGCATCTTTTTCTCTACTCTCCTAACATTTTAAAGTCTTCCTTGGAAGTTCCCTATTTTTTTTTTTCATGCATGTTTGGTATTTGGGTTTTTTCCTGTATTCTTTATTCTATTTGATAGTTCTTTAAAACTCTATATTCTCCTCAGTATTGATTTTTCTGGATACCCATTAGAATACCATGTTTCAACTATAATAAATTATTCTGTATTTTTGACTTCTCATTTATTGAAAGAGCTACTAGTGATGGTTTAAAAGTAGAAAACGTATGGTCTTAATTGGCTGATAGGTATATTGCTATATAGATGATGTTTTACCTGCTAATTTTGAAATTATAATGCATTTAACTCTAAAATTATACTGAATATAATTATATATTTTAGAAGACTCTTTTTAGATATTTAATATTCTTGTAAAGATCAATTACAAACATTCTGTAAGTTAAAAGAAGTGCTAATTAACAAAAGTCCAGATGATAGTTTTAATTTTATTTTAAATTCTTAAAACAAGACTTGCAAATTAGATAACCATAAGAATTGGGTTTTGTGAACTGTATTTCTTAGTACTGTTACATAGCCAATTTCTACATATGTCAGAGATTTCATTAATCTGTAAAATGAAAAAGACTTTAGTGACATATTTTAAATATAGACTGTACTTTTGAAAAATTTTTTGGCTGCCATTTTAATTCAAAATCTTATACTTGCAAATTAAAATCATTCTTTTAACTTCTCTGAAATTATAACTTAAGTAACCAATCACATGATTGAATGCAAAATCAAATCACTCAATTTAATTTGTTGTGTCTTTCACTTTCAAGTCTCTTTCTGAGTCAAATATAGTACAACTTAGATGTGAAATTTGGGATGAATTTTGTGCTTTTCAGGGTGATGAGCGGAAGCAAATATTTGTTCCAGTTGCTTGGGGTTGAGGTAGAAGAATATTTAAAATAGTTAAGTTTAGATGTTCTCTAAGTTGATAGGAAAAATTCAAGGCCTTCTATACTCATACAACAATCCTATTTAATTGCTTTTGAGAGTAGACAGTCTTATTTGCTACCAGATACAGCCAGTATAAGGGAGTGTTTATTTTATTGAAGCCTTGACCAATATAAACAATCACAAGGGTTACCCCTGAGATCCCCTTCAGAATGGAATTTTTATTGAGGCTAATCCAGTATGTTTGCTCTACAGATTTAAGATACCACTAACAGTGGGTTACCGTCTTATTTGTTACATGAGTATATTGCATAGTGAGGAGTATTGGGTGTCTAAGTGCACCCATCACCCACATATTGAACATTATATCCAATAAGTAATTTTAAACCCTCAAACCCCACTCTTTCCGTTTTTGGAGTCCCCATTGTCTATTATTTCCATCTTTACGTCCATGTGTACCAATTGTTTTAAAATATTTCTCGTATAAACATTTTCATGTTAGAAAGCATGTTTTATCTGTAAGAAAATATCAAAACCTCCCCAAACTTACAACTAGTAAGAGCAACATAGTCACAATTTAGACACTTAATTTTTGTTTTATCAATTTTTGCTTCATGTATTTTAAACCTGTGTTATTAGGTACATGAGCATTTAAGATGATTGTATCTTCCTTGTCAATCGTTTACTTTGTGTCTGATGATCTTTATTTTAAAGTCTACTTTGTCTGATATTAATGGTCACAATGGCTTTCTTTTTTTTTTGAGTTGGAGTCTCACTCGGTCACCCAGACTGGAGTGCAGTGGCCGCTCCTGGCCACCGCAGCCTTGACCTCCTGGGCTCCGGCGATCCTTCTGCCTCAGCCTTCCAAGTAGCCGGTATTACAGGCATGCGCTATCATGCCCGGCTGACTTTTTGATTTATTGTAGAGATGAGGTCTCGCTGCCCAGGCGGGTCTCGAACCCATGGGCTCAGGCAATCCACTCACCTCAGCCTCCCAAAAGCGCGGGATTACAGGCTGAGCCATCGAGCCCAGCTCACAATGGCTTTCATTTGATTAGTGTTTGTATGTTACATCTTTTTTTTATCCTTTACTCTCATTCTGTCTGTGTCTATATATGTCAGGTTTATGTCTTGTAAACATCATCTCTTATGGTCATATTTTGTTATCTGATCTGACAATCTTTTGCCTTTTGATTGGCATGTTTAGTCCATATGCTAATAGGCATTTGCGTTAATGTGATACTTATTTGATTGGGTTTAGCCTATCAGGGGTGTGCAAACTACAGCTCACAGGCTAAATCTAGCTCATGGTCTGGTTTTTTGTTTTGTTTTTAACCAAATTAACATGTTATTACATTTGTCACAACTGCTAAACCGATGTTGATACATTATTATTAAATAAAGTATTTGTGATACAGCTATGCCTATTTGTTGATGTATTATCTACATTGTAGCTTTCATGCTACAATGACAGAGTTGAGTAGTTGTGACAGAAACATATGGTCTGCGAAGTCTAAAATAAAGTCTATTGACTCTCCATCGTGGGGGTTAGGGACACTGACCCCTGTGCAGTTGAAAATCCATGTATAACTTTTGACTGTCCAACAACTGTAATTATCAACAGCCAATACTGTTGACTGGAAGCCTTACCAGTAACAAGCAGTTGACTAATACACATTTTGTTTGTTTTTTGTTTTTTGGATGTTTTTGAGCTAGAGTCTCACTCTGCTACCCAGGTTGGAGTATAGTGGCATGCTTACAGCCACTGCAGCCTCAACCTACTGGGCTCAGGCGATTCTTCTGCCTCAGCCTTCCAAATAGCTGGTACTATAAGTGTGCACCACCATGCCCGGCTAATTTTGATTTTCTGTAGAGACGAGGTGTTGCCAAGTTGCCTGGGCTGATCTTGAATCCCTGGACTCAGGCAATCCTCAGGCCTTCGCCTCCCAAAATACAGGCTTGAGCCACCACGCCCAACATGAACTATAGTCTTACAATAAAGTAAGCTAGAAAAAGAAAATGTTATTAAGAAAATAATAAGAAAGAAAAAGATATTTACTATTATGTATAAGTGAATTATCATTAAGGTCTTCACTCTCATTGTCTTCATGTTGAGTGGGCTGAGGAGATGGAGAAGAAAGGCAAAGGGTTGATCTTGCTGTCTTGGGGTGACAGAGGCAGAGGAAGTGGAAGGGGAGGCAGAACAGGCAGGTATAGTTGGTGTAACTTTAAGCAAATACAGTCATCGCTATTTGACTTTTTTTGCTTCTTCATTTCTCTGAAAATGTTTTTTATGTGGTATTAATCACTCTTCCATTGTTTTCTTTAGTTTCAGTGCTGGTGTGATAGAAGGGTCCTTGTGGTAAAGTAAAAGCCGCTTTGAATCATCAGAACCCTTCTGCCAGATTGTCTGATGTCAGTTTGTTTTCTGGCACTGCTTCGTCTACATCTTCATTGTCTGGTACCACTTGGGAAGCACTCATCTCCATCAAGTTGTCTGCTGTTACTTCCTCTGGTGCAGTGTCTATTAGCTCTTGAATTTCTCCAAATCCGT